GGGCTGGGGATTTAGCTCAGCGGCATAAGCGCCTGCCTTACAAGCAGGCAGTTGTGTTTGATCCCTGGTACTGATAAAAAAGAAAAAGACACACACATACACAAAATATCCCCTTCTCAGAGTTTGCTACCAGGAATGGGGACAGATCACGTTCTGTCCCCATTTTATTGATAGAAAAAACAGCCAGAGAGATTATCTGATCTGTTCCAAGGCATCCTGTAGGCTGGGTCTGGAACATGGCAGCCTGGCTTCACTCACCAGCGACTGCTCACTGTTCTTTCCTTGTCTTCCTCCTCCTCTTCATAGTTTCTCTGTCCCCCATCACTCATTCTAGCTGCTGGGGCCCTTGATCTCTGGAGCTTAATTCTTGGAGAGAACACAGCTGACAAAAACCCAAATCGGCAGGGAAGGCCCCTCCAAGAAGTTGAGTTCCTAGTCAGTGTCCAGGCTCAAGGTCTCTGGCCTGGGTGGAAGCAGAGTAGTTGTGGCCTAATTGTGGATTGGCCCTTACTGGTCACAGATCTAAATCTCATCTGAGGAGGATGGTTATCAGGATAAATATACCCAGCTCCCCATTCCTAGGGAGTTACTCACCCAGTAAAAGCACCCTGCTGTGGATTAGATTACCTCTGCTGGAACTGCTCCCTGCTCATGGGGCTCTGGCTTGGGGGAGGGGGAGGGACACAGGGCCAAGGGAGTGGGGAGACCCGCCTTCCTGCTCTGCTCGCCTTCCTAATCTGGAAGAGTCTCACCAAAGGGGCCCAGATAGGACCATCCCTGAGCTGGTCCTGCTGTTTACATAGCTCCTTCCTTAGGAAAAGCCAAGGTGCTTACTACTTACATCCCTGAGCTTGCATAGCTATAAGGGGCCCCAGAAGATTCTGTGACACTCAGGCCTTCAAAGCTGCCCAGATGACCAGCAGGGACACCAAACTTTCCCTTGTTCAGCATCCCTTTGGGTGGCATGGGACCAGGTGAGAGACTTGCAGAGCTGGGGCTCTCCGCCTGGATTTCATAGGATTTGGCATGACATGAGGCTGTCATGGCCCCAGAAGTGTCTGGCACAGCTTCCTCAAAAGCTGAGCTGACATGCTGGAGGAAGAAGCAGCACATGTCCCTTGAAAGCCCCAGCACAGGCTGCAAGAGATACCTGATAGGATTATTTCCAAAAGATGAAAAGTATTTCCAAAAGATGAGAAGTATAAAACAAACAAAAAGAGGCCTTTATTCTGAGAACACGGAGAGAGATAACCGGCACCCCCCACCGCTGGAGTCCAGGGATCTCTCTTGAGGACAAGTGGCGTGGGGGGATATAAGTAGCCTAAGCTTAGGGTAGTGCCCTAGGGCCATTAGAGATGCACAGGTATTTCATTGGCACATGTTTGGTGCCAGGGGCAGATTCCGAAGGGTGGAGGGAGATAGAGTTACAGGTAAATCTCTAGGGGCGGGGGAGACAGGAGCTCCCTGATTCCGGCTGAGGTCTTTTCTGACTATAGTGTCCCATCTGGGCCAAAACCCTTTCAGTACCATGAAAGCCAAGTTAAACTGACCTGCAAAAAGGTGTTGAAAACAACTTGTGCTTGTTGTGGGCCTCTCCTCAGCTAGACATCATGAGGGGGGCCTTCCTGATAGTCAGAGGACTATCCCTTTTCTAGAGCTGCCTGGAGCTATAGCTGGAGGAGTCTGGAGTCAGCAGAGCAGGCCAGATGGCAAGGGCCTCCGCAGGGAATCCTGCAAATCCTGGGAAGTATTGAAAAAGCTGGCTGGGTGCCTTGCATATACTCAACTAAGCTGTGGGTTCTGTGGTGGAGGCTTCTCCCTAAGGCATGTTTTTTGGGCCAGAATGGTGGCCTTGATGCTGGCCCAGGCCTGGATTGTAGCATCCTTACCCTTGGGTGGGATGGATTAGGGGGTATTTTCTCTGGGACCAAACCTTTCTCTGGGGGTGATCTCTTGTTTGTGAGCATCTCCCATTTACTGATTATGTTCTCTTCCAGGCCCCATGCTAAGCGAGTATTATACATGTTTTCTTGTTTCATCCGAACTCTGTATAAAATGATGCCATTCCTATAGGACAAGCAAGAGAACCAAGGCACAAGGGCCATGGAACAGTGGATCTAAGCAATTTAGCCACTGAGCAGTATGTGTAGCCCTGAGTCCCACTGTGCAAGTTGCAGTGTGACAGTCCAGAGCCTGGAGCCTGGGAGGAAAGAATGGAGTAGCTCTGGGTCCTCCCCCTTTCTTGAGCCATCCTGGACGGACCTTTAGCTCATCTCTTGGCACCTGTCCAAATCCAGGCTTCTGGACTTAGAAATCTTTATCACATAACAAGTAGTGGTCAGGCCTGGGTAGGAGGAAGACGTCTCAGTTTTTGAGAGCCTTGACTTATTTCTTTGCTATACTTGAAGGTGGGGGTAGAAGATTCCACTGATCGCTTTTCTATTTTTTTTTTTTTTTTTGGTAAGGGGGATCAAACTCATGACCTTGGGCTTGCCAGGTAGAGCTAAATCCCCGGCCCCTCTGTCTTTTTTTTTTGCTGAGGATTGAACCCAGGACCTCCTGCATGCCAAGTATGAGCTCTGCCACTAAGCTCTACTGTCAGCTCATTGACTACCTTGAATCCATTATTGAACCTAATATGGGTCAGGGTGTCACCCTAGGTTCCCAGGGGTGGGAACCTCTGGCCTGGGGGCCATGCCTGTGCCCCACGTTGAGAGTATGAGAGGACCAGTCGTCTCCTCCACTTTGTGCCTCAGGACTGATATAGGAACTTGAGGGGTGCAGCTTCAGCATTTCTTAGGAATGCCGGCAGACCGGCCCCTCCGGTCTTCTTAGGCAGGTGGTGGGCTAGGATTGTCTGCATCTTTTTTTTTTGCTGCTGGGAATTGAACCCAGGGCCTTGTGCAGGCAGCCACACACCTGGCTCCCAGCCCTTTTTGAGACAGAGTTCACCAGACTGCACAGGCTAGCCTGAAACTTGCTACTGTTTTGCCTCTAGAGCAGCTGGGATTATAGCCGTGTACCCACCATGCCTGGCATCTTAACCCCTGTGGTTTGTAAACTTCTAAACTTGTACTCCTGTCCAAAGGATTGCAGTCAGTTTTAGAAGCTCAGGGAAGGACTTTTCCTGCCCTAGGTCAGCCTCCTAGCTCTAGGCAACTGCTTCTGTGAGCCATTGCTCTGACCAGGCCCAGCTTCAGTGTAGACACAGGTATGTCCCAAGTACTGAGTTTTCAGAGAAAGCACCAGAAGTGAGAGCATGTGGCCTTTTAGGACTGAGGAGCCCCTTAAACTACATGGCACTGTCAGGTTGTACCTCCATATGGGTGTGTTCCAGGCTGGGCTTGGGGTCTTTGTACCATCTGGCTTGTCCTCTTCCTAGTAGCTTGTCCTGTCCCTCTTGGTCCACCACCTCCCCTCAGAATTGAAACTTTGTTGCACTCATGGCTGGGGACACTCCAGTCTACTCCCAGCTCTGGTAAAAAAATTCCAAGACTGGGGCTGGGGATTTAGCTCAGTGGCATAAGCGCCTGCCTTGCAAGCAGGCAGTCGTGAGTTCAATCCCTGGTACCTATAAAAACGAAAAAGACAAAAAAAAAAAAAAATCCAAGACTGCAGGTTACCTTTGGTTACTCCCCATGGCAGGAAGCCAATAGGCCAATGGTGCCCTCTGGTGGTCAGCAATACCCTTCCCGGCCTCTGTACCTGGGTGGCTGGGAACTTTGCACCCAGCCTGCTGCCAGCCTTGAGACAGCCTGCCTATCCCAGATATACACAGGTTTTCTGGTCTCATCCAGTGACCTTGATTTTCCCCAGAGAAGAAGGGAAAAAAAAAAAAAAAAAAAAGCTGCAGAATCTAGTGGTTTCCTCTGAAAAGAGGATGAGACCTCCCATGAGAGCTTCTTTCACAGGGTGACTTGAGATGAACTTAGTGAAGTGATGATGACAAATTGAGAGGCCTCCTGTGGCCTGAGTGAGGACCGAGACTGCTTCCAGGCAGAGAGTATCTGGAGTCTGCCTTCCTTATCCACAGGAAGGGAATGTGTGTTCCTGTTCTTACAGAGTTCTGATGGTCTCTGACCAGACCAAACCAACACCTTCTGTAGCATATTAATAGAAGGAATTTCTTCCTGGCTTTCTTTGTTTTGTTTTGGTGATTTTGGAGACAGGGTTTTGCTAAGTAGTTCTGCCTGACCTTGAATTTACTCTGTAGACTTTTTTTTTTTTTTGTCTTTTTCGTTTTTATCAGTACCAGCGATTGAACTCATAACCGCACACTTGCAAGGCAGGTGCTTATGCCGCTGAGCTAAATCCCCAGCCCCTACTCTGTATACTCTTAAACTCACAGTAATCCTCCTGCCTCAGCCTCTCAGTGCTGGGATGATAGGCATGCACCACCATGCCTGGCTCAAATATAAGGAATTTCTAAATTTGCCTTCAGATGTTTAAAGCTGGGCAAAAGGCCATAGCTTTAGCTGAAATTTCAAGGGATCCTCTGGGATGGGACCATACCTGTAAGTGGCTCTGTTTACTCAAGCCAGGGGAGGAGTTTGCTGAACTCATGAGGAAACTTTGGCCCTTAACCATTTTGCAGCCTGTGGGGAAATGTCAGATATCTGCAGCCACAGGAATCCAAACTGAAGCTTAGCATCTATGCCTGAGGTGGCTCCTATATTCTTGACTCTTCCTTGGGCATTTTATAGGGAGTTTTAGGGACAATGACATCAACCCCTCACCAGATCACCAGGCAGGACTACAGAGGAAAAGAAGGTAGTCACACTGGAGATACGGCTTTTGTAGGTACCTGCTGGGATTCCCCTCTCAAGGAGACAGTGATTGGAGAAAACTGGAAAATGATGTCTTCTCCCTCACATTACACATGCTACACTTTGAATTTTATTTTATTACTGTATTTTTCCCATCAAATTTGCCATGTTTACATCTTGTCCATATTCAACCTGGAAAAAATTCTTTTCCTTGGAGGAAGATCTTTTTCAGGATTTCACAAAGCAAATAAGTCCCAGTGCTTGCAGTGCTCCGCTGTCCTTTGTAAACCTCACACCAGTATTGTAGGGTAAGAGTTATTTGCCATAGCTTATTGAAGAAACTGAGGCTTAGAGAGGCTGGGCGATTTGCTGTGGGGCACAGAGTAGATAAATGGAGCTGAAATTTGAACTCGGGTCTGGCTCATGCCTAGGACTAGCAGGGTCTTGTCTCTGTGTCCTAGGACTGTACCCTGTAACCAGTAGTCTAACTAACATAGGTATCCATGTTGGGAACAGCCTATAGGAATCAGGAGCCCAAATCCAATTCATAAACCAATAAACCTGACTTAGAGTCACACCACAGGTACAGGTGGGGGTTCGGGGGATTTGGTGAGCGGACAGTGGACTCCTTTGTTCAGAATGTTGAACAGAGAAAGTTGAGCCTGAGAGACCTGTGTGCAGAGCCCAGTGTTGCACTTGTTGCCTATTCTGGAGTGCAGAAAGAGGGTCCTGCCCTCACTGGGTTGAACAAAGGGGAAATGGGAACATTGGGTGGAGCCAAGGCAGCAGGTGTGGCAATGGAGGGGCCACTGGGATTGGCTCTCGGCACTGGTTCCTTCTCTGCTGTTACCTAGACACATACATACTAACAACTCCCTCTAGTTCCGGTTTGCTGGAGACCGGAAGCTGGAACTCCTCCAAAGGACTGGAGGCATAGGGGCTTCAGGAACTAACCTTTCTTAGAAGTAGGAAACCAGGACCTTGGACCTAGGACCTTGGTACAGGCATCACCTCTGACCCTTTGGGCAGGAGCCTGGGGTAGGTGCGGCTGGGTCGGGATGTACCTTGTGGCCAGGGCAGCACTGTGGGAGAAGGTATGGCCCCGTAGGCCTGGGTGAGGGCCTTGCTTCCTTTTTCTCTTCTCCGAGTGGGAGTGAGGATAGGGGAACAGTGCTGCAAGAAAAGATTGTATTGGCAGGCTTCAAAGCTCGAGTCTCTGACATTTAGAAAGTTGGATTCTTTAAATACAGCATCTTCTTGCAGTCACAGCAGTTTCTCTCAGGCTGGGTATTTGTGTCTAAGGACTTTTTTTTTCCTTTGAGTATCAGGAATCGAACTTAGGGTCTCACGGTGCCAGGCAGGCACTGTGCTGCTGAGCTATATCCCTGGCCCCGAATTTGGAGCTTCTGAAGAGTCATCCAGTCCTGGAAGTCATTAGCTTTGTTACCTGTGTCCAATGTCTTTATTTTTCCAAGTCTACTTTCCTCAATTCTAAAGAGGGGATCAGAATTTCAGCCCCTTGTGTTATTAAGAGGATTAACTGTGACCATACATGTAAATGCCTACTACTGTGCCTGTTACTGGTAAATGACAGTAAAGTGGCCATTGCTTTTCTGATGATTATTGTCCCGAAGGTCAGGTGTGGCTCAAGTCGGCAGGGAAAAAAGAGTGAGCAGGTCTAGGAACGTGGCAGGCTGCGGGTTTTGCATCTGGGGCTGGGTTGTCTGGGCAGTGGGGCTGTCAAGGGTCCCAGAAGGGGAAGTGTTCCCACCTCTGCCCCTGCGGTTCTACCCTTCTGGTTTGGAGACCAGAGGGACCCAAGGTTCCCTTCTTGGCTACTGGGTGCCAGGGTAATGGAAGCTTGGGCTCAAGGGTCAGGTCGGCTCCCTTACTGCTGTTAAAAGCAGAGTAGTGGGGCTCTGGAGCCTCTGGGGCTGGGCTGCTTGCCAGGCTTCTGCAGAAACCGCCAGCGGAGCAGTCCTGCCCCTGGCTTACCGAGGGGGTGGGGACCACTGCACCAGCTTCATTCCAGCCCCCATCTCCCCACACACCTTACCTCATAGCCTGGAGCTTCAAGAGGGGCGTGGAGCTTGGGGTTCTGCTGCTTCTACCTGGTGAGAAGCACATGTGCCCCCTCTGACTTGCAGGCTGGAAAAGCCTAGCTCTTGGAAGTTCAGTGAGGGCCTGGCACTGCCCGGGCCCCTCCCCATGACGTGGGCCCCTCCCGTTTGTTCCCCGCGGTGCCCTGCAGATTCAGAGTTCCAGGCAGGCATTCCTCAGTTGCACGAGCCAGCAGCCCAGCCCTGTCGGTGGGAGCACTGAGCCAAGTACCCGACATTTAGAGGTAGGAGAGCCCAGAGGAGCAGCCTGGAGCAAGCCTCCAGAGCACCTTCGGCTTTAGCTGGGGAGAAGAGAGCAGTGTTGGGAGCTGGTTCTTGGTCAGGCTGGTCTGGATTGGTAGCTTTCTGTCCCGAGGCCAGTCATTTTTCACATGGGTGGGGCGGGAGCCCAGTACTCTTTTGCTCTTGAGGTGTAGGCAGGCAGGGCACGGCCACTGGAAAGTTCCCAGGTACCCGGCTCTTACTTGCTTCCTGTGCCTTCCTTCTCTTTGTAGACGCCTTGCTGGCAGACTTGGAGTCTACTACCTCCCACATCTCCAAACGACCTGTGTTCTTATCCGAGGAAGCCCCCTACTCCTACCCAACTGGAAACCACACCTACCAGGAGATCGCAGTGCCACCCCCAGTCCCTCCACCCCCATCTAGTGAGGCTCTCAATGGCACAGTCCTTGACCCCTTAGACCAGTGGCAGCCCAGTAGCTCCCGATTCACCCACCAGCAGGTAAGGTGGGGACAGGTTGGGAGATCCCTAAAGGGTGAGGGGGAGGGTGCAGAGGGAGTTTATCTGGTAGGGCATTGGGGAAACCAGTGGAAGAATGAGATTGGGAGAATAGATTGGGGGATTTGGCTATCCCCAATCAGATGCTGCTCCTCCCACCCACCACGTGATAGGGACAGTGATCAAGAATTAATCACCAGTGTCATAGCCAGATTGTGGAAATTCCCTGGTGAAACTGGTGGCTATGAGCAGAAGCTCATCTGGGGATGACTCGGGCTGCTCCTGTCCCCCATTGTTTTTTTTTCTGTCCCCCATTCCTTCCCTCCCCTCGGGACAGTTCTCTGAGCACTCTCCTTCCTGCAGCCTCCATCCCCGTCACTTGTGTACAGCTCCAGTGCCAAAACTTCCAGTGCCTCCAACCCCCAGGACGGCATCAGCTCCCGAGTGGGTGAGGAGGAGCACGTCTACAGGTACAGTTCCAGCCCTGCCCTTCTGCTTGGAAATAAATACCTAGGACCTGGTCAGAGCAGGAAGCCGCTGAGGCTGGGGATCAGGCATAGCCACAGACTCTTGGGGGATGCTCTGTTCAGCCTCACTGGTTTATTTTTGTTGGTACCAGGGGTCAAACTCATGACCTTGTGCTTGCCAGGTATGCACTTGTGCCACTGAGCTAAATCCCCAGCCCTGTGTTGTTGGTTTAACCTGCAGAAGTCCTGGCGGCTCTTGGTCAGTTAACTGGCCTATCTGCCTGTGTATAATGGATACCCTGGGCTGTCGTGGCTTCTCTGTGTGGTTGAGGAACTGAAGCAAGACTTCCTCCCCTCTCCTTACAACATACCTTTCCTGCTCTCTGCCCTCTTGCTGAGGGAGACATCATCACCCCTCAACCTGATACTCCTGGAGAATTTGAGGGCCACCATGCAATGTAAGGCTGAGGAGCATCTCTCACTGTCTTCTTTCCCTTCCTTCTCCAAGCTTCCCCAACAAGCAGAAGTCGGCGGAGCCTTCACCTACTGTAATGAGCTCCTCTCTGGGCAGCAACCTTTGTGAACTTGATCGTCTGCTGCTGGAACTGAATGCCGTGCAGCACAATTCTCCAGGGTTCCCCGCAGGTAGGATTTGGTCCCACATGCTGGTCTCCAGGTCCCTGGAGGGCTCAAGGACTAAGCAGTCTTTCTCTGTTTTTCTGTCCAAGATGAGGCCAACACAAGCCCCCCACCACCTGCGGCCCTGAGCCCTCACTATGGTATTCCAGAGAATAAAAGCCCCCTGGCAGGCAAAGCTGGGTCCCTGCCAAAAGAGAAACCCAAGCGTAATGGGGCCCGGGGCCTAGAGGATGTGCGGCCCAGTGTGGAGAGTCTCTTGGATGAATTGGAGAGCTCTGTGCCCAGCCCTGTGTGAGTATCCACTAGGCTCTTTCTGGACTCGAGAAGTTTGGCCCAGCCAGGCCTGGGTTCCAGCATCTGTCCTTGGTGTCACTCATTCCCTTGTGCCTCTTGTTTGCCAGGCTGTGGAGGTACAGTGGTGACTGGAGTGAGCACCATGCTGCCTTCAAGCAGCCAGTAGCAATCAGAAAAAGCAGACAGTAACCAGGTGTTGGGGCATGCACTGGGAATCCTAACACTGCGAAGGTGGAGGCAGGAGGGTTGCAAATTTGAGGCCAGTCTGGGCTACATAGTAAAACCCTGTCTCCAGCAAAGAGAGGCAGACATTGTATATGCACACTGGTAGTTCAGTGGCTGTTAGCACAGGCTTTGCAGCCCCCATAGTAAGGCTCAAATCATGACTCTGCCAGTTACTCCATGTCAGCTATTAAGCCTTAGTTTTTCCAACTGTAAAACAGGACCAACAGGTAAGAAACAATAGAGATGAGACTATCTATGTGAGTAGAGGTGAGACCAAATAATATATGTAAAATGATTGATGTTGTTTCTGGCTTGTAGTTCACGTTACTCACTCTTACTGGTGTTACCATGTTGCTGTGATAATCTCACATCTGTACCCTATTGTGAAGGACACACATGGGGTGAGGTGAGGTAAATTGCCACGTGTCCTCTCAAGTCAGCTCACCTCAGGCAGTGTCCTGATGACAGCCCTTTTCCGATGACCGGTCCTTCAGAAAGCCTGAGTGTGAGGAGTCTTCCCCGGGGCTGGAATTGTTGAGACCTGGGTGTCAGACCCTATCCCCTGCAAAGCCTGCAGCTGCTTTCTGGGCTCCCCACTGACCCCATGTCTGCCCTGCAGCCCCGCCATCACTGTGAATCAGGGCGAGATGAGCAGCCCGCAGCGAGTCACCTCCAGCCAGCAGCAGACGCGTATCTCGGCCTCCTCCGCCACCAGGGAGCTGGATGAACTGATGGCCTCGCTGTCAGATTTTAAGGTGCCCTGCGGCCCCTCTGTCTTCCTTGCTATGCCCCCTCCCTCACCTTCTTCCTCCGTTACCTCACTGTGAGTGCCTGGACCTTGGACCCTCAGTGAGTGGGTGTCTTGCCTTGAGTTGGGGACCCTGCAATGCCAGGAGAGCAGGATTGGGGTGGGGGTGGGGCAAGCAGTGAGGGGGCTGAGTTGCCTCAGTAGCCACTGGGGGCGGAGAAGCCAAAGAAGCACTCAACTGGGACATTCCTTCATCCTTGTGCGCTCCCAGCCACCAGGTCCAGGGGATCAGGAGACTGTGACACTGGGACAAAGGGCCCTGTGTTGATGGCTGCTCTTGGAGGGGGAGGGTGTGCTCTGCTGGGCCATGTGGGACTCAGGATCCCATGCCTGAGAGGTCACTTGCCCGGGAGCCCCATCTCTCCCACGCTAGCTCTTCAACATGTTTGTGTCTGAGTGTCTCTCTTTCTTTCTTTCTTTCTTTCTTTCTTTCTTTCTTTCTTTCCTTCTTTTCTTTCTTTCTCCTGTCTGTCTGTCTGTCTGTCTGTCTCTGGCAGTTGAGTCCACAGGTCCCCCTTGCCAGCCCCCTTCCATCTCTCTTTTGCCAAGGCCTGGCCACTGGGCCTCAGGGTTCCCATGGCCTCTGTCTGTGAGTACCCTAACCTGTCAGCCTACTGGGCTGGTCCTGTATTAGGTGCCCCCCTACCCCCTCCCTCCTCTTTGAGGCCTCCCCAGTCCTGCCAGCTGGCAGTGTTTTATTTAGCAGATGTATGTAGTGCCTAGATGGGGATTGATATTGACAGAATTCTCCAGTAGTTGCTGACTAGAGTAGGTTGCTGACCTCCATGTAGGTCAGCCAGTGACCTTTGGGGCTGACCTGGGGGACACGAGGAGTATGCAGGCAGTACAGTCTTGGCCCTGATGGTGCCTCCTGCCCGTCTTTTGTCTGGTGCTTCACAGTGGAGGGTGGGAGCTTGGCCAGGGTGGAGGATTGAGCCTGGGCTTATTAGCCTTGTGTGTCATGGTTCTGAGCAGCTAGTGAGAGGTGCATAAGCTGGATTCAGGCTTCGGCCTCAGGGATCCCTGCCCTGTTTCCCTTATATGGGTTTTTGGTTTTTTTTTTTTTTTTGTACTGGGGCTTGAACTCAGGATCTTGTACTTGTTACTCAGGCGCTTGTGCTGCTGAGCTATAATCCTGGCCCTGGGGGGTTCTTTCTGAGATACTTTTATGTCCAGGTTTCCAGTGAGGGGAAGCTGTACTGCTGCTGACTGTGCCCCCAGGATTAGGTCTCGGGGACACAGGAAAGCTGGGGTTGTCTCAGAGGGACGGGGCTGAGAGCTGAGCAGTGTTGCAGGAGGGCAGAGCAGCTGCCTCCAGCTGACTTCCTCTCAGTTTGTGCCTGTGCTGACTGCCCCAGTCACCCTTCTCCCTGCTGCTCACCTCACCTTAGCCTGCTTTTTCATACCTACTTCGGATGACCCTGTAAGAGTGGCTTCATGGCTGCTCTTTGTTGCCTGGGTTTCATGAGAGCCAAGGGTGTGAAGCCCAAGAAAGGGGTTTTTTGAGGCCTGAATCTTTTCTTTCTTTTTTTTTTTTTTGAATCTTTTCAAGAGTACATGCTTCAGGGCTGGGGATTTAGCTCAGCGGCATAAGTACCTGCCTTGCAAGCCGGCAGTCATGAGTTCAATCCCCGGTACCGATAAAAATGAAAAAGACAAAAAAAAAAAAAAAAAAAAAAAAAAATGAGTACATGCTTCAGCACTGTAACCACTTGGGTCAGTATAGATGGTGGCTCCCCAAGCCCCAAGGCCAAGCCTCCCCTTGTTGTGAGCATCCTTCCTTATCTCTCCCTTTCTCTCTCTCTCTCTCCCCCCCCGTCCTCTCCCCTTTCCTTTTGTCTTTCTTCTCCAGACCAGCTCTTCTGCTGTGGCCTTGAGCTCCCCAGGGCTGCTGCCCAGCTCGGCTCCATCCTCACCTCATACCCTTCCTGCTCCTTCTCCATCTCCTCCCACGCCTTTCATATTCCTACCTTCTACCTCTACACCCAACCCTCAAGGCCAAGGCCACATCCCAGAGGTCATCTATACCAAGGAAAATAGGCAGAGCCTCTTACTTCCTGTGGCGCCCAACTGGCTTGATTTGGCTGGCCTTGGGGTGATGTCTGACACCTATAATTCAAGGTCTCCCTCTGCAGAGGGTTCTGCAGGGTCATTTGGCACAGAGAGCCTGGCTCCAGTTAGGAGGGACCTTCTGAATCCCATGAGTGAGCCCTCTGTGGCTTCCCTTTGCCATGTTCTACCTCCTGTTGGGAGCACAGTCTCCCAGGAGCCTGGAATCCCTGAAGGGCCACCAGGTGACCTTTCGTGTCCAGAGGAGGCTGTGGTTGCCACTTGGAAGTGGCCACAGGTTTTGGAGGCATCTAGGCCTGAGACTCCCAGCAGAGCTGCCTGCAGCTTTCAGGAAGTAACGGAGCCAGCTGTTGTGGCTTTGGATCGTCAGGCCATCTTCCCAGACACCTGGAGTCTCGCAAAGGAACACGGTCAGGAGGAGAGGGCAAGGCCAGAGCCAGGGGGGATGGAAAACAGCTGCCCTGCCTCGGCCAAAAAGGAGCAATTGGGTGGAGAGAGGCCCAGGAAGGGAAGCATGGTGGTTCCGGCCCAGGAACCTGAGACCCGAAGGAGCCCAGAGGGCACAACTGAAGCTGCTGCCGAGGCCAGGAAGGAACAACCGGAGCTTCCACGTACCACGGTCACGGGCATGCCCAGCACTGCGGAGAGGATTTCTACCTCTAGCCAGGCAGGCGCCCACTTGTGAAGCCATTGGACGTGGCCCTGGTGGGCCTGAGTGTGGGCTCCTCCTGCTAACTGCATGTAGCCTTACTGCACGCACGTCTGCCTGTGCTGAGGGCCTGTGGCTGCAACCATGATGACTAGCACTTGTCATTGGATGCTGTGGGGCAGCAGGGCTCTCTGGGCCCTGACATTGCCTATAGTGATGATCTTGCTCTTGATGAGCTGCCCTTAACATTCCAAGGTGCAGAATGGTTAAAAGCGTGGATTTTGAAAGCACGTAGACCTAGACACAAATCGCACTTCCAGCACTTGCTGCCAGACCTTGGGCAACCACCTCAGCCTCAGTTTCTCATCTTTAAAATGGGACTGATAATAGACTATTGTCCACCAAGGTTGTCTGAGGATGAAGAGATAATTCCTAGAAAGTGTGTGGAACATAGCACACGATTCCTCAATAAGCCATGCCTGTTGTTACTGTGATTATTGTTTGCTTATTTCTTAAAACTTTCTGCTTTTTCCCAGAACAACAGCTCAAAGCACTAAAATATAAACAAAAAAATAAAAACTGGCTAAAAGATTCACTGAACTGAGCCTGGTGGTATGCACATAGAGTCCCAGCTACTTGAGAAGTGGAGGCAGGAATATTGTGAATCTGTAGCCTGATGGCCAACTTAGCGAGACCCTAGCTCGAAAAAAAAAATTACTATAGAGGCAAGTCTATATATTTCTAACATCAATCAGAGGAAAGAGCGAGCCTGCTATAATGTTAAGAGCATCCACTTGCATCCTCATTGTCTGAAATAATTTATGTGATAACCCTTGAAGCAAGCCAGGAAAATACTGTTACCCCACTTTAAGGATGGAGGAGCTTCAGGCCTTGAAAGTTAAGTGTCTTGCCCAAGGTCAGGGGCCAGCTTGGAGGTGCCAGCCCAGGGACCCAAGGGTCTGTTGTGGCCTGTACTCAAGCCAGTGTCATCTGCCCTTTGTCTCCATCCCACATGGCTTGGCTCTTCCCTGGTGCTTGTGATCTGCCCTTCCCTCCCCGGGACACCTGAGTGTGGACTGAGCAATGTTGTGCCCAGCCCACATTAGGACAGTAACAGCTTCCCCCTCCGCCCCCAGATCCGCTCTGTGATCAGGAGGAGCCGGGAGACAGGCCACGCTCACCCCATGTCCCGGGAGCCCTCTCCTCGCCGCCGGCTGGACCCCGCCACCCTGAGCAGGACCCCATCCCAGGAGCAGCTCATCGCAGAGCTGCAGGGCCGGCTGGGCATCCAGCCGGAGGTGGAAGAGGCTGCAGGGCCAGCCGGGGCCTCCGCGCAGGACTGGCTGACCGAGGGCATCGTCATCACTGTGCAGCCTCGTGGGCGGAGGGCTGAGGGGCAGTTGGTAGAGAAGGTAGCCAGGGCCGGGCCACAGATGTCCAGATGCTTCCTCAACCTCAGTGCTGGCCGGAGGAGCGATCTGGGGGTGGAAGTGTGGATTTTTGTGTTCTGTGACTTTGTCAGGCTGGCTTTACTCTGATGCCAGAGTGGGAAGGCCTGGGAGCCTGGGGATGTCATCCATCTTGTGCTCGCTGAGCGGCTAATTTCTTCTGCCTTCCTCATCTTTCTCTCCCTGCTCTCTTCCTAGGTTGTCTTCCCTCCTGACTCTCCCATTCCCCTGAGAAGAACCATCTCTGTTCTGGCTTCTCCTCCTGTCCCTTCTCTCCAGCATCACAGAGACGCCTCGGCCAACAGCTCTTCTCCCCTGGCCAGCCTGCCCACTCTCTCCCACCTGGGGCCCTCAGTCTCCACCCATGGTTGCCCAGGGGTCCAGAGTGCAGGGGAAGAGCCCCATGATGAGGATGGGCAGGGCTGTACCCCACCCACTCCTGCACCCCACACTGTGAAATCTGTGGGCTGCCAGACCGATGAGGACCCACTCTTCCCCCCGATGCAGGCAGGCCTCCTAGGGGCCCCAGCTCCCATCCCCTGCCTGCTTTCCCAGTGTGTGAGCCATGCCCCAATTCTCCGTGTGCATGAGCCCTTACTGTCGCCAGACCCCATCCCTCAGAAAATCAGTTGGCTTCTGGCTTTCCTGTGAGGCCTCACCTGCTGGCCCCTTCACACTGTCCCTTGGTTCGGCCATCAAAGAAGGCCACTCCTAGAGTGAAAAACAGAAGCCCATTGCTTCCCCTTCAGCCCCCACGCCTAGCACCTGCGGAGGCTCTGTGCTGTGGGAGCTCAGGCACCTCCCCTCCCATACCCTATCCTTGGGGCTCACTTCCATCTCCTGGGCCATTTTCTCTTAGTGTGTAGATTTTTTTTTCTTCTGATTTTGATATTGCTAGTGGGGAAAATCCTCATATTTTATCCTGAACTCCTTTGTGTGAAATGGTCCAATAATAAGATCTTGTATTCCTTTTAGTTTTTTTAAAAAAATTTCTTCTTTCCTCCTCTATCTAAGATGCACGGCCTGGAACAGAGAGCGGATGGAGAGTGGCAGTGGGCAGCTGGCTGGTCTCCAAGCAGCAGGCAGAGCAGCCCTGAAGGGCAGGACGAGGGAGGGGTCAGTGCCAGGGCTGGGAGCTGAGGTCCTGCTTGTCCTGATTCCCTGGGCTTGGTCACGCAGTAGAGACCATCAGCCCTTCCTTCTCACCCTCTGACACCCCCAGCCACCAGCATGGCCTGCTCTTACCCCCACCTTTAGGGCTTTTCAGGCCCTGGAGGACATTGTTCTTGCATTATTCAGCCTGTGTGCCCCGGAGGGAGAAAGCCCTCCAGGTATGGTGCTGGGAGATGCCACGCGTCCTGCCCTCAAGTCCTGACCAGCCTTTTTTCCTGTCCACGCAGTTCATGGCCCAGGGGAAAGCCAGGAGCAGCTCACCACCTGGGGGACCCCCAAAGCCGGGAAGCCAGCTGGACAGCATGCTGGGGAGCCTGCAATCTGACCTGAACAAGCTGGGGGTGGCCACAGTGGCCAAAGGTGTCTGCGGGGCCTGCAAGAAACCCATTGCTGGGCAGGTAATGAGCAAGAACGGCAGGCATAGAGACCTCTGCCTCTCTTGTCGCTTTGAGCCACCTTCCATCTTCCTCCTCAGGTGGTGACCGCCATGGGGAAGACATGGCACCCCGAGCACTTTGTCTGCACCCACTGCCAGGAGGAGATTGGATCCCGGAACTTCTTTGAGCGCGACGGGCAGCCCTACTGTGAAAAGGACTATCACAACCTCTTCTCCCCGCGCTGCTACTACTGCAACGGGCCCATCCTGGATGTGAGTGTCTGCGTGGGGCGTGGCAGGCAGGGTAGGGGCAGTAGGGCCCCATCAGTTTATTTCATCTTCACGGTAAACCTCAGAGTGGGTGGCTTCAGAGAGGCCATGTCACAGGCACTCCATGTGACAGCTGGGAAATGGCAGGGCCGGGATTCAAACCCAGGCCTTGTCTGCAGCCCATCCTCACGCTCCCCTGCACCTCCCGTGTTGGATTCTGAGTTTAGGACCCTTGACCAGATAAATGGAGCCAAATCCCGGATGTCCCACTCACTTTCCCTGCTGTGTGATGTTGGGGAGATGCCTAGCCTCTTTGAGCCTAAGTTTTTTCAACTCTAAAACAGGAATTACAGTAGAACCCTTGGCGTTGATCTTGCCTGTGAGCATTAAAAGAGAGCAAATATATCTTGCATTTCACATCCCTCCATAAATCCGAATTCCTAGTGGTACTTGGAGAGGAATTAGGAGACCCTGCTGGGAGTGTTTGGATCTTTCCTTGGTCTTGAGCTGAGGAGGGTGAGGTGGGATCCATCCAGTGGGGTGGCAGCTTGGCTGTCATTGCACTCTTGGCTTTCACAGAAAGTGGTGACGGCCCTTGACCGGACGTGGCACCCTGAGCACTTCTTCTGCGCACAGTGCGGTGCCTTCTTTGGCCCTGAAGGTATGGCAGGCCTCGGGCCAGCACACTGCTCTGGGAGGGCTGGGCAGAAGCAGGAGGCTCTGTGGACATTGGGGCCTGAATCTGCCCCCAAAACCCCTGCTCCTCAGGGTTTCATGAGAAAGATGGCAAAGCCTACTGCCGGAAGGATTATTTCGACATGTTCGCTCCCAAGTGTGGTGGCTGTGCCCGGGCCATCCTGGAGAACTACATCTCAGCCCTCAACACCCTCTGGCATCCCGAGTGCTTTGTGTGCCGGGTAAGGAGCCGTTGCCACATCTGGAGGGGCTGGGAGCAGGCTCGGGGGGAGGGCCTCTCTCTCTTGCCTGGGGTCCTCGTGGTATGAACAGTCAGGGCATTCACCTCCTAAGTCTGCTAGGTCCTGAGGCTGATGCTGAAGCTGGAATAGACAGAAGCAAGTGGGACATGTCCCCATGAGTGCCTTTTTCACCCTCACCTCAGAGTCTTTTATCCTGATGTGCACAGGGTGGAGCGGGCAGGCGCGGGCAAGGGCTACTAGTCCTGTGCTGAGGGGATATTTGGGAGAAGAGAATGTGAGCATTAAATGAGATAATACAGACGTTGTGCAGACTTAACAGAGATGGGCTAGTGGTTTCCATACTACAGTGTGGGGGTCAGGGGTCCTACAGGTGTCTGTATCATGGGCTTTCTAACCAAAGGAATTTGAGAAACATACACTACAAGCCTTCTCAAGCCTTTAATACCACATAAATCCCCAATTTGGAAGCCAGCACTTAGAGATCCTGTTTTTCAGCGCCAGGCTTTCTGGCAGTGCCATCGTAGCTGCTTGCTTACATGTCCAGAAGTCAGACCTTTGGTCTGAATCTAGGCTGTGCAATTTAGTAGCAACATGTCCTTGGACAAGTCACTTCACTTGTGACCTCAGTGGGCCTCTGCCTTGGAAGGGCCTAAGCTTAGGCCATCTCTGTGCACATAGAAAACTGGCAAGGGGGAGTCAGAACAGATGTGATGACCATTTGTGTCCCACTGAACATCATGCCAGGCGTGTCCACCTACAGGGACAGTCCCTGAGGTGCTCCCCCCACCGCCCCCTCTGTCCGGCAGGAGTGCTTCACGCCTTTCGTCAATGGCAGCTTCTTTGAGCACGACGGCCAGCCGTACTGTGAGGTGCACTACCATGAGCGCCGCGGCTCGCTGTGCTCCGGCTGCCAGAAGCCCATCACGGGCCGCTGCATCACCGCCATGGCCAAGAAGTTCCACCCCGAGCACTTCGTTTGTGCCTTCTGCCTCAAGCAGCTCAACAAGGGCACCTTCAAAGAGCAGAATGACAAGCCTTACTGCCAGAACTGCTTCCTCAAACTCTTCTGCTAGGCAGCCTTGCCGTCACCAGCCCTTTTCCCAGCCCAGCATCCCCCACTGCTACTGTGACCTAGAGACGTCGCCCAGGGCTGAGGGGCACACCTGGCAGAAACTGGAAGCCTCATCCGCAGCCGGAGCAGGATGGGAAGCAGGTCATGGTCCAGCCTGCTTCTCTTTACACTCTCCCCAGCCTCCTGGCTTCTCCCTCCCTCTGCGGCTCTCCCCAGGCTGTCCACTTTTTTCTACCCAGGTGTGGAGCCTGGAGGATCCCACCTCACACCACATGTTCCCATGGAAAGGTCTGGCCAGGCCAGCACCTCTCTCTGGAGCCATGTGTACTCATTTCAGTAGTGGAGCAGGGTGGGGAGGCAGCAGGTCAGCTGGGGTCTCTTTTTATACTTATTCTCCCCCCAACCTAATAATCCCTAGAGTGCTGGGGGACAGCCACCTGCCTCCACACAATGCCAGCATAAACCCACTCACCCACAGGCAGAAGTGCCCAAGGACCTACGTGTTTCTGCCTTCAGTCTCCCCAGGTCTTGGGTGACCTCCTCGTTTCCTGACTGCCCCTTTTATAACTGTTTTGGTCCTACTGAGAAAGGCTTCTCCAGCAATAATGTTTTATAGCCACTTCTTCCATCTCTGGGGACGGCACGAGGTGGGAAGTGTCACCTGTGCCTGGACACTGTATACCGACTTTCATAGATTTCTACACTGAGGTTTGCATTCGTATCACCCAAGTTGCTTTTACTTCTCTGTACAAGATGACTTTGAAGAGATTTTAAAGACTTCCCTTTTTGTATTCTCCTCTTGTCCAGTGCCACTGGGGCTTTGGGGTGGAGTTTGCTTTGTACTAAGGGCTTGCGGTGGGGAAGCCGTTTGTATTTTATTTTTCTTAGCACAAGCAGGTGAACTGGGAGCAGCTCTGTGACTCCTTTTCTGTACCTTCACAGCGTACCTGGACTGTTTTATAAACTGCTGTATTTTGAAACTCCTTCCCTCCTGCCTGGGTCAGTGAGCACCTTAATTAAAAGTGATCTAAGGGTGCCTGGCTCATCTTGCCCTGTTTCTGAGGGAGGAAAAGGGGGAAGTGTGCTTTGGGGGGCTGCATGCTGTCTGTGAAAGCCATGAGGAGCCTCTGCTCCCCAATGAACTTCTTGGCAACAAAGAGAACCCACTGGACATTCTCAGCCTCCTGCTTCTCTGGGGCTCGCTCCTCTGCCTTCTCAGGAAAGCTGGGACCTGACTCTGGCCACGAAGACCATGCAGGTCTCTTTTGGTCTTGATTTCACTGGCGCATTACTTCCTCAGATGTCCTGCCTTGCTGGAGACTGCCTTTGACGGGGGGTCGATGCTCAGGAGGTCTGGGAAGAAGGCTCCAGCTTGGGCCTGGTGGGGACAGGATCCTGCTGCAGCAGCCAGAAATCCCAGAATTCTTTCTCAAGGAGAAACAGGAGCAGCCATGTCTGAGGTTCCTGGCCAGGGAAAAGGGACCCTCTACAGTGACACATTCAGACCATCCCACCAACCCGACCTTTGAGGCAGGGCAGGGAGTAGTCCAGGTCTGGGGAGGTCAGCCAGGACCCCCCAAAGTTCTGCCATTTCCACTTCTACCCACAGGCCTTATTGCTCTGTTTACAGTGACCCATCCCAGGCCTCTCTCCAGGGGGCCTAGGATTTCTGGGGTCCACTCACTGGGTTAATGGTTATTTGATTTTTGATTTATTTTTCTCTATAAATTTCTAACCTGGCTTTTTCCATTTCGATTCCTGTGATTTATGCCAATAAACTTTGTCATTATTTTCACCTGTGCTAGTGTCATTTCTTGGTGGTCCAACAACCTAGTACTCTAAGCAGTGAAACCAAGCCCTCTCAGACTCAAGTTTCACCAGGTAGAGGGTAAATCATTAACATTTCCTGCCTTGGGGTCAGAGGCCCTGCCAATGGGATCCTTGGTCCTTGTTTCGGCCAGCTCCAGTACCAGCTTTAGTCTTAACTGGGCATTTGGTGGGAGAGGCTGGGGGGCTCTGTCTTGGTGCTACCAATATCTACCTGAGTAACTCATCCTAAAGTCCTGGTGCAGATGCCATCTGTTGAATGAGTTCTGCTCAGGGTTCCCTATTTACAATTACTACATGGCCCTCTAAGTGTCTTTTCTCTCATTTAGATAGGAAAAGAGATTCCAGGCGAGAACAGACATGTACAAGGCAACTCCTTGAGTAACAAACAACACAGCAGTGAAGTGAGCCCAGAATTTGCCTCTGTGTTCTGCCTGAAACCAGATAGCACCTGGGTGTTGCCCTTCCTAGTGGGACATCAGAGTCTCAGATGGGTCTCCACTGCCTCTTAGTGGTCATTTCCATAATTGCATGCTTCCTTTTTGCATTTGTCACATGCAAGGCCCCCAAAGCTGTTGAACAGCACTTGTGGCACCCTGAGTTGTGGCTTCATCCCTATCATGTCCCCATCATTTGGCTTGGTCTTTCAATTCTTGTTGGAACCCTAGCCATTTCAAAGTAATCTCAGAAGTGAACATTACCTTCAACCCTCACCCAAAGATAATGGCTTCATTTATTCCAGTCCATATTGGATTTATTCTATTTATAGAAATGAGTATGGTACACTTCGTTGTAATTTGATTTTTCACTTAACTGCTTTGAGACTGTTTTCCCACATTAGTGAATATAGATTGCATCATTTTTAATGATTTCATAGTGTTCTGTGATATTGATGTACTACAATTAGAGATGATATTTATATTGTCAGAGCCAGGATGTCCTTAGAAATGTACCATAAAATATATATATAGTTGGAAAAGCATGTGTAGAGGGAAACAGACTCTTGAGTTTGGAAGGGACTGTGCAGCATAGTGAGGCCCATGGGTTTGGTTTTTTTTAAAGAGTAGAATGTATTGAGAGAAAAAAAGCTTCTGTCTGAAGAGAGACAGAAGGGCACCCGAAGGGGTTGCCTGGCCCATGGGTTTTGAACTTTCTCCTAGATTTCAGTTCTAAAACCATCATTTACTGGCTAAGAGATGCTGGGCAAATGACTTAATGTCTTTGAGTTTTCTCATGGATAAAATGGGAATACTAATATTGTAATTCCTCTGAGGGTTATTAACATCAAGAATGGAAGGCCAGGGCCAGGGATTTAGCTCAGTGGCACAAGCACTCTCCTGGCAACTGTGAGGTCATGAGTTCAATCCCTGGTACAAAAAAAAAAAAAAAAAAATGCGGGCTAGGGATTTAGCTCAGTGGCATAAGCGCCTGCCTTGCAAGCAGGCAGTTGTGAGTTCGATGCCCAGTACCAATAAAAAGGAAAAAGAAAAAAAAAATGGCATGCCTGGGTAAGGTGGCATGCCTGGGCTACATACAGAGTTCGGGGCCAGTGTGAACTACATAGACCCTGTCTTAAAATACAAAACAGTGTAATGTGCACAAAGTAACACAATGCTGAGTGTGCAGAAGTACAGGTCATTTCAAAGGATCTTAGTGGTAATTGACTCCAGCAGTTCACCAACTGGGTAATCATCGGGGAGGTACCAGGAAGATCTGGAACCAAAGGAACTAGGGGAATAGCTCACTGGTAAAGTGTTTGCCTAGCATGCATTGAGACTTGCTTTGATTCTCAGCTACTGCACATAAAATATGAACTGGGCACAGTGGTATCTCTAGGAACTTTGGAGGCTGAGATGGGAGCATTGCAAGTTTAAGTCCAACTTGGGTAACAGTGAGACGCTGTCTTGAAGTTAAAAAGAATAAAAAGGCTGGAACTGTAGCTTAGTGCAAAGGCCTTTGGATGAATCCCTGGTACCACAAAAAAGAACCCTCCCCCCAAAAATAATCCATGAGTCGCATTTCGGTAGAAACCTACTAACACCTGGAAATTAATACTTGCATAAAATTCCTATGGTGACTTTGATATTTGGTCAGCTTTGGGAATAGCTCCTGCTAAGCATGTTGTGAAAAGATGGCTTCATCAGTTATTGTCCAAAGATGCACTGTAACGAAGTTTGACACAGGGCAGGAATACTAGAGTTCCACCTTTAAATCAGCACCATGGAGGGAAATTTGAAGAAACAGAACTTAGGATCACATACAGTGACAGCCAACTGTTTGTTGGTCATATATGGTTCAGACATATTTGGTAATTTCTAATGTTCCAATGAAAAAGAGTCACAGTGGGAAGAAACACATTTCAGCCTTAGGATCATTCATTAAAAGTATGTTGATATAGCACAATTATTCAAATATGTTTTGAGTGAATGTATATATAATAAAAGAAGCAATTTTTTTTTTATTGTTACCAGGGATTGAACTCACAACTGTGCACTTGCAAGGCAGGCAGTTATGCCGCTAAGCTAAATCCCCAGCCCCGAAGTTAATGCTTATTGATTTTCTTCTATATCCAGGAACTGTGCTTCTTACTGCATAATTATCCTCATCATAACTCCAAAATGTGGGTATAATTATTTCAATTTTACTGATAGGGAAGGGGAAACAAAGGGTCAGCAAGTTGGAATCACTTCCTATGAAGACAGTGTAGCAAGTGACAGGACCAGGTCATCTGGCTGCAAAAACTGCATTCATTTAAAAAAAAAAAAGTATGTATGTATTGAGGATGGAACTCACAACCTTGCGCTTGCTAAGCAAGCACTTGTGCTGTTGAGCTAAATCCTGAGCTCTCACTAAACAGTTATTATATGCCTACTATGTGCCAGGAACAGTTTGAAAACTGCTTTTGTGGAGTTTGCATTCTTTTTTTTTTTTTTTTTTTTTTTTGTCTTTTTCCTTTTTATCGGTACCAGGAATTGAACTCACGACTGCCTGCTTGCAAGGCAGGCGCTTATGCCACTGAGCTAAATCCCCAGCCCCCTGAGTTTGCATTCTTGCAGGAAAAAGCACGTAATAAGGTGAAAGATTATATTGTGAGCTGAAAGGTACATGAGTAATCGAGGTAAACAGAGTGAGGGGGAATGGGAATGAGTCTTCTGATAATTTTAAATAGGTAACCCCAGGCAGGCTTCATTTGCACCAGTTCTTGAAGATGCGTTACTCAGTGAGATATTGGCAATAAACATTCCAGGAAGAGAGAACCAGAAAATGTCCTCAAGTGGGGGCATACTCTGGAAAAGCAGCAAGGAGTATGGTTTAACTGGAAGGAAATGTGTCAGTAGGAAAACAGGAGATGAGATTATCCGGTGCAGATCATGTAGGACCTTATTGACAGTCTAAGGTTTAGAATTTTACTCTGAGGAAGTGGTTTTAAAAGTTTTGAGCAGATGGAGATTTAGATTTTAAGGATCCCTCTGTTTTCCTAGTGGGGAGAACAAACTAGAGGAGATAAAATACCATTCTATTTCTAAGGCATTTGCAGTTCTCGGTTCCAGTCAAACCACCACAGTTTGCTAAATGGGCCAGCTACGAAACTGCTACAGGAAGGTACCTCCAGACCAGCAGGGGGCAGCAGCTTCTCCACCGTAAGGTGGTACCTTCCTTAATTACCTTACCTAAAGGCATTTCCTGTTGGCTGGAGTGGCAGCAATATTATCCAATGGCTGCCTATGTCATTTCGGCGCCAACTAATAGGCAGGAGCGGTGCCTGCGGCTTCTGATTGGCTCCTTCGTTTGCATATAAAAGACACGCGCCGGCGCGCGGCCTCTCTCTTTCCAGGCGTCCTCGTGAGAGGTTAGTGTGGTCGGACATTTGTGCTGGGACTGGCGGCCGGAAGCATGGGGTTTTTGGGAGGCCAGGAGAAAGAGATTGGCGCGGCTTGGGACCACGGGGTTTCCGTTTGCCCCGCTTGGGTGTTTGGGCTCCGGCTTGTGCGCTGTTATTGGTGGCGGCAGTAGCCCAAGCCGGGCTCTGGCGCGGGCGCTCGAACAGGTCAGCTTAGGCCTCGTTTCGCGATTCGGTATCGGGTGACCACCCCTGAGTTCCCTTTCTCTCCTCAGTGACATCGTCTTTAAACCCTGCGTGGCAATCCCTGACGCACCGTCGTGATGCCCAGGGAAGACAGGGCGACCTGGAAATCCAACTATTTCCTTAAGATCATCGTAAGTGCGGAATGGGTTGTGGCCGACAGGTCGGCAGCCTTCACCCCTGGCCCTAATAGGGATAACCACCTGCTAAACGTTCATTGGTGCCAGCCACCGAGTTAGACCAGTTTGGATAAAGCTGCTGTAATTCCAACAGTTTCCCAAGGTAGATTTTTTTTCTGCTGGAAGTACACAGGCTCAGGCAGTTTAAGTGGCTCATCTTGGTACAGATGGTAGTTTCAAATCCCTATGTCTTGGGTAAGATCCGAGACTTAAAGAGTGACTCACTCTGAGGAGGCAAAGACCTGTCATTCAAGAAACTAAATGTACAGTGGCTGTTTTTAATGGCTTTTAAACGATCTTTACCATTAGGGCTGGCCAATACTGCACTGAAGGAATTAAGTTGCTTTTTAGAGCTTTGTCAGTATTTTGTAGTCTGATTAAACTTGCTAAGTTTTCAGCAACATGATTTGTATAAAAATCCGTATTAATTTGCTGTATATTATAAGTGCTTTAAATGTGCTGCTTACTCTGACCAGCGAATTTGTAACAGTTTTAATGGTAACATGGCCATTTTAGTGACTCAGAAGTAATGCCTCATTTCAAAAATTTTCTTTGATCAAATGTAGAAGTTGATTTTCACCAAGCAAGTCAGTCAGATCTGACATTATCAAGTTAGATGGCTTCTAGTGGGAAAGAACTGTTTTAATCTTATAGTGATGTCAAAACCATAGCAGAAAGGAAGTGAAATGAACCCAGGTGGTTGTG